CTAAGGATGTTCTTTTTTTCCGAAAATTCAGAGCTATAGCCTTATCCTCATTATATCGTTTGATGCCTCTTCTACTTTTCTTCATGTTTTAGTGTGACTATTCCCTGGTTATCATTGCTTGTTTTGCAGTGCTTTCTGCTTGTTAGCCAATATGCGAGTTGGGTTTCTTGGCCGTATCAGCAGGCTACATCGATATTTTTTTTTTTTTTTTCTTTCTTTCTTCTTTTTTGGAAGATTTATACCGATTCATCTTAGTTTCGCAACTTTTACTTATAAATCCGTTGTTGCCATCGGCAGTATTCCTACACTTGATTAGATAATTGTTGCTACCCATTGACCATACAAAAGGCAAAACTTTATTGGCGTTAGTTTTTTTTTTCTGTGCACGATGGGCAAGCACTTCTCTCACTTACATTTTATAATCCATGTAGTGTAGCTCAGATCGTCCATTGAATCCATTCTCTGTTTACTTACCTCTCGATTGCACTGCACTGATGAAATTCTCTTTCTAGTCTGTGACTATATATATATGTGTGTGTGTGTGTGTGTGTGTGTGTGTGTGTGTGTGTGTGTGTGTGTGTGTGTGTGTGTGTGTGTGTGTGTGTGTGTGTATGTATGTGTGTGTGTGTGTGTGTGTGTGTGTGCGTGTGCGTGCGTGTGCGTGTGCATGTGTGTGTGCGCGCGCGCGTGTGTGTGTGAGTGTGTGTGTACTCGTAAACGAGTATATGTATATATATATATATATATATATATATATATATATATATATATATATATATATCGGAGCCCGGCGGCCGTGATATCGATTCTCGCGAAGCCAAGCGCCGTTGGAAATATTTAAAAAGACTGCCGCGATGGTCCAGTGGTTAGACCACTGGACTGGACACTGGCAGTCGTAAAAATGCCTGCGCTTTGACTGCTCGCCAGAGCCCGATCTCACGGCGAGAAAATGACATAGCGCCTTGAGAAGGCAAACGCAGGTGTTGGAAATAGTCGCCGTGGCACAAGTGACAGTGTGCCGAACCACGGTTGATTAGGAAGGGCATCCAATCAGTCTAC